GTTTGTAAATAATACCTTATTTCATTTGATTATCATTAAATTTCAATTTGAAATTTTCATTATGCTGTTTTATTTTATTTTTTTAATTTCCAATTTTATCACATATGAACCTTGTTCAACATAATTTAGTGGAGAAAGAAAAAGAGAGAGAGAAAAAGCTTTTTATAAAGTCTAACCCTTCCAATCTATTAACATCTCTCCCCACTGGTAAAAACTGTCTCCAGGACCTTCTCATTAACGGTTTCAAGTTTTAAATTTCAAATTTTATTCAAATGTATATGGAAGAAATCTAGTTACTATTATGTATCTCTTATATACCAATGAATGTGATTAATCAATTTATCAATGTGTTCATTATTATCATTGTCTCACTGTCTCATTACAACTGAAACAACATTACAACTGCCATTCCACTGCCCTCCCTCTGTACTCACCAGCTTCTTGCTGTTCCATTTGCTTCCCACTCCAAGCTGAGCCTACAATCCACCATCGTCCGTGTTCCTCAGCATCCAGCAGATCCTGTAGAGATATCCTGAGCTGGGTGTCTGCTGTGCCTGGAGAAAACAGTATGGAATAGGAGCCAAACATAACACATGGGATAGGAGCCAAATGTACCACATGGGATAGGAGCCAAACATAACACATGGGATAGGAGCCAAATGTACCACATGGGATAGGAGCCAAACATAACACATGAGATAGGAGCTGGAGTTAACACATGGATTAGGAGCCAAACATAACACATGGGACAGGAGCCAAATGTACCACATGGGATAGGAGCCAAACATAACACATGGGATAGGAGCTGGAGTTAACACATGGGATAGGAGCCAAACATAACACATGGCATAGGAGCCAAACATAACACATGGGATAGAAGCTGGAGTTAACACATGGATAGGAGCTGGAGTTAACACATGGGATAGGAGCTAGACTTATCACATGGGATACGAGCTGGACTTAACACATGGGATAGGAGCTGGGGTTAATGCATGGGATAGCAGCTGGAGTTAACACATGGGATAGGCATAAACACATGGACCATATCATCTACTGTCAATAGTGTATGCAGTTTGTGTTAAGTGCTTATATTTTTAATGGCATAATTTAGCATTTAGTTCAACCCTGACCTACATTGTACCTCTCACATAATTCCTGAGTAATTTCTTCATATGCTCCATGTGACTGGGGTCATAGTTGGGAATCTTTCTCATGTTGTTGTTCTTAATGGCAAGGAGCACATCCAACATAAACTGAACTCTGGATCTAGAAATACAAATGTAATTATGATTTTTAAAATCACATGTGAAAAGAGAAAACAAAGGAACAAATTTATTCGTGTATATTTAATGAAATCTAAAAAAATGACCTTTATATTTCATTAATTACTAAACTGCTTTGACGGGTTGTAGTAATTTCAACCTTTAATAGAACATTTTTTCTCCATTGGACAGCAAAAAGACCTATACCAGATGTAAAGAAATGATATGCAAACCTACATTTAAGCTTTAAGAAATGGTGATATGAAAAACAACTAAAATTTCATGGTAAATTTTTATGACACTTAAGCTGGTTAAATCACCAACTGAAAATCTTGATAGTCATCAGCATAACAGTGCTCTGCGCCTGTGCATATATAGGGCAATCTGTTACAGCTGAGTCCAGCCAATCTAAGCCATAAGTGACACAAAGGTAACCCCCTCATAGCAGTACATGAATAGAGATGACAATCATGAGCTTAAAAATTCATATAGTAACATCTGATGAACATTGATAAGAACTGTAACCACTAGAATACACTTGAAGTACTGCTTAATATACATAAAGGTTTCTTTATCACCCTGCTTTAATAACACTGACACCGTCTGTATTTAAAAATGTCCAAAAATTAAAAACTTTTCATAAAAATAATCTGATCATGCTGATTTTCAAGTGATTTAGTCTTCAAAATTTATTAATATCAGTCTTTAAGAAAACCTAAAGTAAAACAAATATGCATGTACGTTTTGGGATTTATAGGGCGAATAACAGATAGTGCCATATATGCGTCAAAAGTAAGGGCAACAACAAAGAGAGACACAGTGATAATTTTCATTTTTTTCAAGAAATTTCTGACACTGAAAAGCAAAGAACATATATGCAGGCTACAAAAAAAATATTTACAAAGCATGTGAAAGACACCTTACAAATTGACATCACAGTAAGTACAAAAAACATCAAAAAAACAAAATAAAAAACCTGTTATACAAGATAACATCTTGCAATACAATACATATGCATGAAGATTTAATGACCTTATAACAGTAGTTTCATGGACTTAGTCTTTGTTGGTTATAATGATTGTGGTAACCCAGATTTCTTTGGTCTGAGTCATATAGCACATCCTGCAGATCGAGAGACAGTGGTAGTTGTACTGAACCAGGATACAAGCCATAAATTACAGATGACCCCAATGTTCACTACACTGTAAGACTTTAAGTTATTTAATTGTGTACCAACTTCTTCAGCACAGGAGATTAAAGAGAAGCTTTAAGAAGAGTGAGAGGCTGAGAGGAGCGTAGTGACCGTCCACCTCAGACCATAGCATGAGCTGGTGTAAGTGATACATCTTATATACTTCATTAATTTACTGGTTTGATGATGAATGGCTAAATAAAAACTTTACAGCACACTACTTTTAACCTGCCTTCATAGCTGCCTTCATAGTAGGCTGCTTGACCACCATGCCAATAGCTACAGTAATGACTTAGATCTTTTCAATGGGGAAAATTATGAATTTTACAGATATTATATTTTTTGAAGTCATAAATTCTTAAAGTTAGCAACAAAACTGATAAACAGGCTACCTTATATTTCTATTGTATACAGAAAAAGCACTACAGATGCTACAAATAAATACATTTTTAATGATTTTAAAGTTATGTATATGAAAAATTGTTAGTTTTTCCTCATTGAAAAGATCGAGTCATTACCATAATAACATTTACTGAAAAATACTATTTATATGAAACAAAACAGAGTGTCACTTTGGAGGGAAAAGGTTCATTCATGCAGGTCTGCTGTCTCTGTATACTGACCAACTGGTGTTCAAGGTAACATTACTTGGTCAAAATCTTATCTAAATTAGCACAATTTTTGAAATACAGGAATGTGACTTCAAAATTAACCTTTTGGTAAGATACTTCTATTTAATTTTTGCTGAATGGCCATTATTTGGCTTTCTAATTTACAATTATGCTGATTTGTAAAAGGTTTGTTTAACTTACTTTTCACCCATTTCAGGTAATTCCAGCTGATGTATTTAAACGTGTTCATATCAAGCACACACTGACCAACACAAAATATGTTAGTTTATGTGAAGATATTATTAATTGTTGCCATGACAACCCAAACTGAAGCACCATGCCCATGGTCTGGTACCTGCAGCTGCTCGTCATCTAGCATGTCAAACCAGCAGGCAAAGCAAGTCGAGCCGAAATACACGGTCAACTGCACTCACAAGCAACTTCCAGCCATCCCTCCTAGCTCAGGAAACCCAGCATCCCTCACATACGAACTCATCGACTTTTCTCACAATAACATCACTTCCATACAAGATGGTGCTTTTCAAGAACTGACTACAGCACAGCGGATAGTCCGCTTGTCTCTGACACACAACCAGATCAGCTACATCCACAGAAATGCTTTCTTTGTCTTGAAGTACAAGTTGGATTACCTGTTCCTGGACTATAACCATCTGACTACAGTCCCTGGAGAAGCAGTGCGTTATCTAGCTGCTCTGTCAGAGCTCCACCTATCCTTCAACAAAATCAACACCTTCCCTGCGATGACATTTCAGGGCTACATGGAGAGCCTGGAGGAGCTGAAACTCCAAAACAACCAGCTGACCTCTCTTCCAACCAACGCACTTCTGGGTCTTCCTAACATCTTCCGTGTCCTGGACCTCAGATATAACAATATAGATACCCTCAACATTTGTACTCTTGCTGGTTTTCCTAACTTACAGTATGTGAAAATGGATGGCAATCAGTTATCATGCACCTGTGATCTCAAGTGGATGACAGACAGAGAAGTAAAGCTCCAGATTTCAGCGTCTACCCCAGTCTACTGCAGCCAGGGGAAAGATAACAGGGTTCTACCTGAAAGTCTTCAGTGTGGCACTCCACCTAACTGTGGCTACTCATCTAAACCTGCAGCCACAATGAATCAAACAACTACAACTACAACTTCTGCTACAGTGGCAAACGACAAAAATTCAACAATGGAAAATCAAGACAACACAGTGGTAATAGTTGCCATTGTGGTGGTGATTGGAGTTGTGATCATTGCCGTTATTGTGGCAGTTGTAGTCATTTGCTGGATGAGACACAAACAGCACACCATGACTAATATAGGTCAAGGCCAAATGGGAATAGGTGGTCAAGGACATGACCCACTCAAAAGTGAAGGTCACCAGATGAGCATGCCAAATTCCATGGCCAATGGAACAGAGCATTTAGGGGGTGAACCAGGATACGAGCCACCAGTCCTCCATGCTGCTTCTCACCAGCACATCTATACACAGCTCCGTACCCTGCCCCCTACGCCAGTTAATAACGAGACAGGAGAGGCTCAGTATGAGGTAATGCATCCACCTGATCACCCTGTGTATCAGAACAATTATAGCTACTGTGATGATGTGAACGCCACTGCTCCTCAAACACAGAATACACCAGAATACTTGGAGCTGTTGCAGTAACTGGATGGTATACATCCTGGGCAATAACTTACTTTTCCACATGCTGTCTTTCTATGCACAATTATACAAAGTCTTAACTTACCGTAAAGCAATCTACTTGCTGATATATG